GTATTGGTGAATAGACATAAACTGAGACTTCTTAAGGAACCACCTAAATGGTTTGGCCCCTAAAACAATTAGTTGAGTTGCCACACCCATATCCACAAAAATAAATCAATGGTAGACCCTTGTACAAGTCTCAAGCTCAAATCTCTGCTGGAGATGCTGTTTACCATCACACAGGAAGCCTGCACTGTCTCCTTCACAGCACTAACGAGGCTTAGACACCTGTGGGATGCCTTTGTTGAACCCGCCCCTACAAATCTCCCTGCACATCTTCTCCTACTTCTAGTTTTGTAATCATCAACTTCTAATATGAAAAAAAAAAAGAGAGAAAACAATAGGACACTAAAAGCAATGGCCCACTGTCCCCAAAAGGAACTCATTTGAATAGTTCTTCACCTTGAAATCTATAAAACATGCTCCACAGATTTCCTGTTCTATGTCCTATAAATTGAAATTTCAAGTATGGAATATTAACAAGACGAAAACTTGGCTCACCTTTGTCTTCAAAAGGGGAGAAACAGATATCTGCCCAAACTCAAGTTCAGCATTTTTAAGTTTGCATAGTCTCTTCCTAACCTTTAAGAGTTAAAACCTTTTTGAGAATCACCTCACCAAACTGATAAAAATGCTTCTGCAATTTGTACATCTCATCTCTGCCAGACGAGCAACTGTGAAAGTCAGCCAAAGAAAATGCAGGCTTCAAGTCAGAACACACTTCCGAACAGGGAAGCAAGACGCCTTCGCGGCCACCCTCAGGAGGCCAGCCCGCTAACAAACCAAAGGCTTCAAATCAGAGGGAACAAAACACACTTCACCCAGCGGGCAATGGGCAATGGAATAAAGGGGGCCTAATGGGCCAATGCTTATTTTTTTCCATTTCTGTTTTAAAATATATACATATCACAAACCAGGCATACCACAAGCTGGGGGTACCAGATAGGGTTTTAATTCAGCATTCAAAATTACAATCACCCATAATGTTTCACAACAATGCCTCAATATGTCTTAGCAATATGAGGCAAGTAATTTTGATCAAGTGTGTTTCATAACTAGAGGAATAAAAACTAAATGACCTGAAAAAATTGGCTAATAATTTGCTAGAGGTCATAAATAAATGAGCAACATATCCAGGAAGAAGTGTTTAATTTCCTAACTCTTAGCTCCTTTAGATAATCATTTTTTTCGCAGCTCTTTGTAACTTTTCAAAATCTAGCACGTTTTTCTACACTGTGTGACCTCTCAGGATACCTAACCTCCAAAGCATTGTGTAGTCTGTGAGCTATTAACAAGGTCTTACAGCAAAAAGAATATATATTTATAGTGACTGCTGTTTTAGCTATTGTATTTCTCTACATAAAAATCAAAATATGGCTTTAGATCCATATTATTCAGCATTCTTAAGGTCTTTACCAAATCCCTTAAGGAATGAATTGTGCCAATTTTAAGTTTTAAATCTCATTTTTCCCTACAGTGAATTTATATGTGGTCCTATTTGAAGAATCCTATCCAGTAAACAAGAGAATCACATGTATTAAGTCCAAATGGCGGCTTAACAAGCTTTGCAGCACACCTCCAAGAAAACAGGTAAACGTAGAAACTTTGCATAGCTGGATTTGTTTGTTTGTTTTTGTGAATAAATACAACAAAAGCCCTGATGTATTCATAGCCACGAAATAACACAGTTTATGCCATTTTGCTCTCAATCCCACATTCCTCTCTCTTTCCAATACAACCACTTCTAAACGGTCTATGGATGTATATATAGTATCAGTTTCTGTCATTGTCATTCACTTATTTATTAAGCCTATAGATACTCCCTGGATACTTACTAATTGCTATAAGTTGTGCCAGTAAACAAAATAGCCAATTTCTATACCCATGGAATATACTACTGTTTAGAAGAGGAGAGATAAATATTTTCAGATGCAAATATTAAATTACAACTATGATAAGTGCATCATAACACTTTAAAGAGTACAGAGCATACCCACCCTACTCTGGGAGCTCAGAAAAGGTGTCTTTGGCGAAGTGACATATAAGCTCAGGCAAGAAAGATGAGTAGGAGTCGGCCAGGAAAACATGGAGGAAGGGGTGTGTGTGTGTAAAAGCCATGAGAAGACCCATTGGGGAAGAGGGCACAGAAACTGTGGCTAGAGCATAATTAGGGGGTGAGAGTAAAATAAAATTAAATCAAGAGTTAACCGGGGGTGGCGGTAACTATTTAGGGCTTTAAAAGCCAAGCAACAACAGTGGGCGGCCATTGAAAGATTTTACTGAAAGGAGGTATTCAGGCTTAAGGAGGTATTTACACTTTAAGATCTGTCCAGCTACCCTGTAGAAAGTGGAAAGAAGGGGATAAATAAGGTGAAGAAAGGAAAGGAAGAGCCAGTTGGCGGATTACAGTGGTTCATGTGTTCAGGGGTCATTTTCAAAAAAGGTAAAGTCATGAATCTCATATAAACGTAATGTTAGCATGTGTCAAAGACTTCAACTTATTAATTAACGAAGGAACCAGAAGGGTGTTACAACTGGTTCAAGGGAGAATTCTAAAAGCTACATGTTTATATGCAGGAAAGGAAAGCTAATATAAATTTACAATGGATGCAAAAACAGGTCTATCCAAGAGTAATAATCAACTGCATTCCAAACTACTTTTTATTTTTATGGTTAAGTGTCTGCATTATTATCTGTGTGCACAGCTCAGAGTTGTAGAGCAGCTCAAAGATAATGGAAGGCAGATAACCCAGATGGATGTGCTGGCAGGACTCCCACTAATCTTTTTTGCTCATCTTAAAGTCCTTCACCGTTTTTCCTAACTCAGATAACAGTAACTTGGCAAAAGGAGGTGTCGGTAAAAATGGGTAGCAATGGGCCATGTTGGAGATAGATAGATAGACAGATAGATAGATAGATAGATAGATAGATAGATAGATAGATAGATAGATATGGTACTAGAATCAACAAGACTTAGTGTTTGAGACTTTGGCTAGGGAGGGGGCCACAAGGGAAATGTCCAGGGAAGGAATTTGAAACAAATTCCTAAGTGGCAGAAGACGCCATCAGAGTCTGTTTGGATTTCTCAGCACAAGGGCACTAGTTCTCTATAGAGGGACCCACACTACAGGGAAGCAGCAGACTCAATCAATAATTCTATTTTAAACTCCACCACGATATACCAAAGGACACAGATAAAATAGAAATGACATAAAGTACATTCCC